GTAAGGTAAAGTTCCTACCGAAAAGGTAATTGTGGAATTTCTTGACTCCCCACACTGCATCCAGCGCTTCTTTATCTATCTGTGCGTAGTTGCGCTCCGCCTTCGACAGGGATCTCGATGCAAACGCTATCGGTCGCTCTGTGCCGTCTGCCATGACATGAGACAGTACCGCTCCAATTCCTACAGGCGAAGCATCACAAGCCAGTTGTAAGGGAAGGTTAGGATCATAATGTGTAAGCACCAGATCTGAAACAATCATTGCTTTCACTTTGCAAAAAGCTTCTTCGCATTGATCTGTCCAGTTCCATTGGTAGTTACTTTCCACCATTTGATTCAATGGATGCAGGATTGTAGCAAGGTTTGGCAGGAATTTGTGGTAATAATTCACCAATCCCAGGAAGGTGGGGCGAGGGGCAACACTCTGGGGGCGAGGGGCATTCACCATTGCAGCTGTCTTGTCGGTGGTCTTCTACAGGCCTTCACTATTAATGTCGTGGCCACAGAACGTGATCTTTTCTTTGAAGAACTCACACTTCGATTTATTGGCTCTCAACCCATGGTGGTGCAGCCGTCGAAGGACCTCATCCAGGTTAGCCATATGCTCTGCGTCGATTTTACCCGTCACAATCATATCATCTAGGATACAACTAGTACTAGAAGTTCCTTCCAGAATCTGATCAAGGGTACGCTGCCAAATGGCGGGAGCCGAGGTAATACCAAACACCAATCGATTGTATTGAAACAAGCCCATGTACGTATTAATTGTAAGGTACTTCTTGGATTCTTCGTCCAACTCAATCTGATGGTAAGCTTGGCGGAGGTCAATCTTGGAAAACGTTTTCCCACCAGCTAAATGGGCAAAAATATCTTCGATTCGAGGCAGAGGATACTGTTCTGCTTGTAATGTTGGGTTAATAGTACCTTTGAAGTCCCCACAAATACGGACTGAACCATCTTGTTTCGGCACTGGTACAATCGGTGTCGCCCAATCACTCCACTCTACTTTCGACAAAATACCTTCGTTCTGAAGTCTCTTCAGTTCTTCCTCCACTTTCGGTCGTAAGGAATATGGGACCTGACGAGCTCTGCGAAACTGCGGTTGACTACCTTCTTTGAGGGTTATCCTTGCTTTGGCAGATTTGAAAGTCCCCAGCTTATCTTGAAAAACCTCTGCATACGTATCCAACTATTGTGTAGTCGTGCCAGCGTTTCTATGGCTGGGATCTGAGGGTTTCAACAACTTGATGGTTTTCCAGTCGAGGCGAAGCTTGTGAAGCCAATCTCAACCCATTAACACTGGAGCCTTAGTCTGGACTACATGGAGTGGCAATAGACATGATTGATCTAAGTATTTAACTTGCATGGCAAGGCAACCAACTGGAACGATCAGTTCACCAGTATAGGTCTTTAGTACGGTGGTTGTTTTCTCTAACTTCTTGTCGCGAAATCTTTCCAAGAACATGTCATATGGCAAAATGGACACTGCGGATCCTGTGTCTAGTTCCATGGATAGTGGTTGATTTTCAACTTTCACGTCAACCCATATGACATCACTGTTTGATTTGTTTACACTATGAACTTCTAGGTTATTCAACAAGATGCCCATACTCATCTGGTTCGCTCTCTATGGCATGGGTCGATTTGTAGTATCTTGATCTGGGCGAGGGTCGACCGGGCCCCTGGGTTTGTTGTGCCCGACAAGCTCTTTGAATATGACCTCTCTTTCCACACTTGTGACAGACTTCTTTCCTAAATCTACACTCAGTTGCAACATGTGTATTAGCTCCACATCGATGACACACTACAGGGGAAGGTGGGCCACTATCTGATCTATTCGAAGGTCTGTTAAGTGTCAGTTTGTCAAGACCAAGGGGTTTTTCTTCTCTATACTCGCTGTGGATCTCGGTAGCATCTCGAGTGGTTGTTTCCATAGCAACTGCTATGTCGACACCTTTGGAGAATTTTAATTTCGACTCTGCAAGGAGACGTTTCTGAATTTGCTGCTTACTATTCACCAATCTGTCGCGCAAGGTTTCTTCCAAGTTACTTCCAAAATTGCAATGTGTGGTTAATTTTTTAACTCACTGAAGGGCTTAAAATGCTCTCCCCTTCTTGCTGATTTCTCTTATAAAACGAAACCGTTCGGCAATTTCTAGTGGTTTAGGATTTAAATGCTTCTGTAATGTACTTACTATTTCATCAAAGTTCTTGTCTGCAGGCTTTTCTGGCAAAAGTAAATCCTTTAATAATGAATACGTTTTGCTTCCAATCAAACTCAGCAGAGTTGGCACTTGATGATTGTCGTCGACATCGTTTGCAGCGAAAAAATGTTGTACTCGTTCGACATACGTCTCCCAGCTTTCTTGGGTTTCATCAAAAACATCAATTTTTCCAATCGTCGTCATTTCTGGACTTATAACAATCCCAAATTCGTCGCCACTGTCGTGTATTTAGATTATGCTTTTAACTAAATATGAATAATACATAAGCATGGGCGATCTACATATCTAATGCGCATGTCCGTGCGTATGACCGCTGTCCGTCTATATCTATATATCTAACAGTGTTCATCATCAACGTCAAGATATTTGAGAATGTCTTCAAGTCTCCACTCTTCGGGAGATGCTCGTTTGTCACTATCCATGATTGGAATCACGAGATGCCCTTCATGCTTATTATTTTATACTAATTCTGCAAGGCCTTCTAAAAGTGGTCCAAGTACCAATCCCAGAAAGACACTTCCCCGCTGAACAAGAATTTCCTTTTTCGTTCTAAAACTTCTACTTCTGTTCGCCAAATCAGCTAGATCTTGTTTGAAAGGTTTGAGTTTGTCCTTTATTTCTTTAGGATATGTGAAATTTTCTATACAATGACACAAGCATCGAATTTGCTCAGCTGATGCAAACTCTACAAAAGGCCTGTACACATCAAAGTACGTCATCTCTCTTCAAGAGTTGGAGCTTAAATGGTTCACTTACTCGAGGAACATGATTTTAAAAACCTTTTTGCGAATATAGATTGAATTCTAGATTGAATATCTAGAGTGAATCATTGAATCATAGATTGAATCATAGAGTGAATCATTGAATCCGAGATTGAATCATTGAATGAATCATTGAATCATTGAATCCCAGATTGAATCATTGAATCATAGATTGAATCATTGAGTGAATCATTGAATCATAGATTGAATCCTAGAGTGAATCATTGAATCCGAGATTGAATCCGATTGAATCATTGAATCAGATTGAATCATTGATTGAATCATTGAATCATAGATTGAATCCAGATTGAATCATTGAATCATTAAGAGTGAATCCTAGAGTGAATCATTGAATCATTGAATGATTGAATCATTGAGTGAATCATTGAATCATAGATTGAATCCTAGATTGAATCATTGAATCATAGAGTGAATCGTTGAATCCTAGATTGAATCCTAGATTGAATCATTGAATCATAGAGTGAATCATTGAATCCCAGATTGAATCATTGAATCAATCATAGATTGAATCACTGAATCCTATATTAAATCAGTGAATCCTAAGAATAATCACGAGTGGTTATAAATAGTGGACCAACTTAAAATAATTTCATTCAGAGTTTTGACACAGAGCAGTGAACATGTCTCATTCTTGCACAGTTTGTAACAAATCATTCTCAACTTCAAGTAACCGTTCACGGCACCAAAATACAGCTCACGGACCTGGCACTCAATTCCAATACAGTATTGTTGTCAATCGGTCCAGTGTTATGCTGCATCCTTTCACATGTATCGTAGCTGGGTGCACCCAAAGCGGCAAGACTGTATGGGTAAAATCTCTCTTGGAGAATGCACAGAAAACTATAAGTCCACTTCCTCGACGTATCATTTGGTGTTATGGTCAATGGCAACCCTCCTATTTTGATATGAGAACGATGCAGGAATCGAATTCAATCAAGGCATCCCCGAAGACATCGACAACGCAGATTACTTGGACGTATCGCGACGGAATTTGATTGTATTGGATGATCTCATGGCTCAATCTGGCAAAGATAAACGTATTTCTGATCTTTTTACGAAAGGAAGTCATCATCGAAATTTGTCTATCATCTATATTGTCCAAAATATATTTCATCAGGGCAAAGAAATGAGGAATATTAGTCTAAACGCGCATTATATCGTATTGTTCAACTCACCAAGAGATAAACAACAAATTTCTATGCTTGCAAGGCAAAGAAATCCCGGCAAAGTACAAGAGTTTATGAGGAGTTATGAAGATGCTACGAGCCGGCCTCACGGGTATTTGATGTTGGATTTAAAGCCGACAACGAGTGACCAAGATCGACTCAAGACAAACGTGCTTCCCAGCGAGATTGCAAAGTTTATACAAAAACAGTCGTATTGTCAACCACCGCTTGTAAACGCCATGTATGATGCCGAGCAGCGAATGAAAGAAATCATGGATGCACCACAGATTAGGCAGTGGAAAAAAGCAAATTATACTCTGATCAACTAAATCGGTTTCTCACATTCAAAAATAAGATGGATGTTCCGACTCAAGCTCCTGTTCTGACAACTCCACTAGTGCCTGCAGAGATACCATCACTAGCGCCTCCTACGCCTGTAATAGCGCAAATACCAACACCAGTGCCTGCGACTCCTAAACCTAATTTCTTTACACCACCACCAAAAGAAGAGGAACGGCCAAAACTCAAGCACAACTTTTTCCACAATTGGGTAGACTCTACAGATTGGAGGCCCCAAGAGGCCCCACGATACAAATTTAACAACATCTGGGAAGTCCATAGAAGATATACAAAACCAGTTAAATTCTGATTTAGAAAATATTCATACGTGGCTGTTAACCAACAAATTGACTCTTAACAAAGAAAAAACTGAGTATATGATAATTAGCTCTCGGCAACGGTTAGCGAAAATTGATGACGATCCGAAGATAAGTCTTGACGGTATTGATATAAAAAGAGTTAAACAAGCAAAAACATTAGGTATTGTCATCGACGAAAAATTACTATGGAAAAATCAAATTGACGAAATAACTACCAAAGTTTCTAGAGGAATTGGCATGTTAAGGAGAATGAAAGCCTATGTTCCCCAGGAAACTTTAAGGACTGTCTATAGTGCACTGATAATGCCACATTTCGACTATTGTAGCCTTGTCTGGGATAATTGCAGTAATTATCTACTAGAAAAATTACAAAAACTGCAGAACAGGGCTGCAAGAGTCATAACTGGAAAATCCTATGAAACTCGTTCAAGTGAGATTTTAAAAACTTAGGGTGGCAACCGTTGCTAGACCGAAGAAAAGACAAAAGGGCATTATTTATGTTTAAAATAAGAAATAATGAGTTTCCCAAATGCCTGACGAGCATGTTTAACACTAGCAACAATAAAAACTATAACCTTCGCAGTAACGAATTAGATTTTGCACTTCCAAAGCCGAA